TAAGTCCCTACACTCTCCTCTCTTCTCTCTCCTTTTTTATATTATTTTCCTTCTCTCCTCTCTCTCTCTCTCTTCGTTCTTTTCCTTCTCTCTTCTCTTTTTTCTTTCTTTTCCTTCTCTCTTCTCTCCCCCTCTTTTTTTTTTTCTTTCTTTTCCTTCTCTCATCCCTCCTCTCTTTTTCTTCTATCTTCTCTCCTCTCTCTCTTCTTCTCTCCCTTTCTTATTTCTTCCTTTTCCTTCTCTCTTTTTGTTAGAAAAATATTACATACATTACTTATGATTATTAAATTTTTTTGTCTCACACAAAGATAACTATTTTCAGAAATTACGGAACATGATTGATAGGGCTATGGAGCTCGAGTGGAAAGCCAAAAACATATGTCATAATAGACGTTTATAAAAGGAAACAAGGAGAAATGAGGTCACAACTCGTTAAAAAAAAAATAGCTCCGCCAATTTTCTTCCTTCCCATTTCTCTGGCTTTTTAAAAATAAAATAAAAATTAATGTAGTCCCCTATTTTATCTTTCTTTTTAATGTGAAATAAATTTTTTCTTTTAATTTTTCTTTTGGTTTTTCTTTTAGTTTTTGTATTTGTAGATATAGATGCGTTTGAGGGCAAGGCTTATTACTTCTTCCCTCACTATGTAATTTTTTTTAAATAAGTTTTGCCCGGTCGGCTTTCGAATCCTGGAACCGCCCCTGGCTATGAAGGTCTATGATGAAGCAACTAAGGCTGTTCCAAAACATGAGAAATTGAGCATGTATGAAATCTACATTGCCCGTGCTGTGGAGATACTTGGCATCCCCAAAACAAGGGAGATATATGAGCAAGTAATAGAATCCGGTCTTCCAGACAAAGATGTGAAGACTATGTGTTTGAAGTATGCTGAGGTTGAGAAGAGCTTGGGAGAAATTGATCGTGCTCGGGGAGTATATATATTTGCATCACAGTTTTTGGATCCACGATCTGATGTAGAATTCTGGAACAAATGGCATGATGAGTTTGAGGTGCAACATGGAAATGAAGATACCTTCCGAGAGATGCTTCGAATAAGATGAAAGAAAAGAAAAAACTTTCTTCCTTTACAGAGTGACGTATATATTTCCTTCCTTTCCTATGACTATAACTTTGTTACATGAATAGAATGGAACTTTGAAAAACAGAAACAGTACTCGTTGAATTGAATATGGGCATGAGACGCACGCAATGAGGCAATGGCAACACTTCTATATTTCACGCACCTAGGGAGGGGGAGGTTGAATAATATACTCCCCGAGCAAAGATAATGCAATCATTTTTTTTTTTGGTCATCCCCTAGGGAGGGGGAGGTTGAATAATATATTAGGTTGGCTTTTTGGGGGTGGTGCCACCCCATGTGTAACAATAAAGGTGATTCTGTTTACTTAAATATGACAGAAAAATAAACATGATAGGATAAGCTAAACATGGTCTGCATATTTAAACTTCTTTACTCTCAAAGAAAAAAAAAATTCTTTACAAACCTGAACAAAAATCAAGCATTTTAATCAGCATTTTAAACTTCTTTACTCTCTAAAAAAGTTTCGATGTATTAATATCACCACATGCTTTTAAGAATTCTTATGAGCTCTTCAATTTGGCACATTATAAATCCCGAATGTATGGGGATGCAAATGAAATCATGAGAAAGATCTTCCCCTGTTTTATGAACAGCTGTGATATATAGCGGAAATGTTTTAATTCATTGGAACATGCTAAGTCCGAGTAATATTCTAATGGAATTTGTACAAACCAAAAAGCTAGCTACTGGTACAAAAGATTGTAAGCTGGTAAATCATGTATTCTTTGAGTATCTTCTAAAGACAGCTCTCTTTCCAGCTGCGTCCTTGTTGCTTGGAGAACATCCTGAACGATTGAAAGCAGCAAATTAAGGGTTCTATTGTGATTTCGTGATTTGGAGACCTCATGCAGAGAAACAAACCAATTTGACCTAATTTCACTTGAAGTTGTGGATTAAAGAGATAGAGAGAGAATTACATTAAACTGCATGTAGGACGCATGCATTGCAAGCCACTGAGCATCAACCATTTCAAAAGCTATACAGTATAGTACATCAAAAGCGGCTTCATCTTCTGCATGCAAATCATAATCCAGGAGGTTAAATATCAGAAACCAGCGCAGTTTTTTGGCAGTTCTCCAATTCTTAAAGGCAGTAGAGCATTGTAACCCAAAAAAGACATTTGAGCATAACCTTGTTTGAGATGTACATTTACCTCCTAATAATCTCACGAAATTTATTCCTGGAAGACACCTTGGTTTTGCTGCAAAGTAAATCAGCAGACAAGGAAGATTCAGGAATAATTAAGATTCGTTGTTTTCATTTATAAAAACCTTGTGTAACAAATGATAGCGATATTGAAACAAATCTAAGTTATCCTTAAAATCCCAGATTAATTTTTCTGAACTCGGTGTTGGGACAGATCCTCAAGAAAAAGATAATGCAATCATTTCAAACGTTTGAAGAAAGAAGATGATTTCAAGTTGATGTAAAAATAAAGGTGATTCTGTTTTCTTAAATATGAAAGAAAACTAAACATGATAGGATAAGCTTCATGGTCTACATATTTGAACTTCTTTACAAACCTGAGCAAAGATCCAGCATTTTAATCAACATAAATGATATGTTTATTCCGGCAACAGCAAAAGGGTATTCCCAAGTTGCTCGCTTCCCATCTTCCTTGAACAATAACCTACGGAAAGACACCTTCATTTTGGATTTTATAAAATTAGTATTAACTCATTTTTTGTGCACTTCAGCAATTAGGAAGGTAAAACACAAGGGCTTGGAGGGGGAGCCAGAAAAGGAAAATATGATTATTTGCAGGACCCACACAACAGGATAGAAGGCATACTGGATAAGTCCTGGCGAAAAACAGCAAGTTCTCTAGGGAGATAAAACCGCAACCCCTGAAGAGAGCATTTTACTATAAGAGAACTGTAGAACAAACTATCCTACTAACATTTCCTTTTAGCAAAGTCCTTTCTGATTCATGAAAATCATGAAACAAACTATAATTCAATTAGACATACCTAAAGTCAGTAGAAGGGTTAGAACCTTGCCACCCCATCTCTTTCCACTGCTCAGAAATTAAACCTTGCAGAGCAACATCTGGAAAGGCAGCACGCCACAATGCTTTCAAGGCTTCCTGAAGTTCATATAGAATAACATAATCTAGTCAATGATATAGCACCAAACACTTAATAAAAAGGGGGAGGGCGAAGCAGAATGGTAACAACGTAAGAGCTGAAAATTATGCACTTCTATTGAAGATTCAACATGAAAAAATTAAATTGAAAAATCAAATGGTGTAGTCGTGATAGCAAGTTGTTCCTCAGCAGCTAAGATTTATTAGTAAGCCCTAGTAGTGATAACCCCTATCAGATTCAGATTACAGATAACGAAATAACCAATGAATCGTCATCAAATTTAAACATAGCTCAATTAAACCAAATTAAACCAGGATAACAGTGGATAAAAAGTGAGGAAAAAAAAACTGATTTAGCACCAGCATGAAGAATATACTTGATGATCAGGGCGATTCTCATCAAAAGGAACTTGTAATCGTGCTTGAAGCCTCAAAAGTCTCTGTTCCTGTTTAGAAATTGAAAATTATATTGGAAGTCCGTCAAATGGATGACAGTGAAGAAAATCATTTCAGGAACTTTAAAAATCAACCAAATCTAGAAGTGCATGTTTAAGTCTTCAGTAATTCCAAGAAAGTTCCTAAATACTAAGTCTGGTATCATCTATCAGAAATATTGTATATGATGACATCAAGATGATAATTAAGACTGAAAAAATACCAACATGCATAAACCACATGAATGCCCAGAATCAACACGTTATACTATTCAAACACAATGGCAGTTTCTCATATAGTTAAGTAGTCTAAGTAGATGGGAAGTAAGAGATGCAAGCTTGCATTCATTGACAAACTCAACATCAGAAGCAAATGTTTGCAAAACACTGGAAACAAAAACCACTACTCGCTTCAACTATATACCTGAAGAGGACTCAAAGAGTAGTCACCATGCTTCTCATTTCGTTTGTTGCTTGAGCGGGTAAACAGTCCTGTCCATGATCGTGGTCCAACCATAGCATTAACTGCAACCATTAAACACTTGTTAGTGAAATATGAGAGTTTGTGTACAGAGTGGTATAGGATCATAAATGCACATTTTATTACAAATTTTTGGTAGTTTAACAAGAACATGGTCAGTGTAGCATTGGTACCATTACATACAAGACCTATTATGTTTTAAGAGATTTTCTTCAAGCTCAAAATGCATACAATATAACAGATGAAAGATGTCCAGGAACTAAAGGCGTCCTATGGGACACACTGTTAGTGAGATTTTCTTCCTCATTTCCCAGTAAATTTTGTCGACATAATTAGTGAGGGAAAAAAAATCCATGAGACACACTGTTCCTCTGCTAACTTAAAACTGCCAATCCAGGAATCAATCCAAATTCCAAATAGAGCCACCAGTATTCACTCCACCATGAAGATATTGCTATATCTAACAATCACATTTCCCATGACCTTTAAGCTCATTGTAAAATACCAAACTTGTGGTAATGACGTACAAGGTCTCCTCAAGAGACCTCAATATGAAACAATGAAGGTTCAACCCAACTATCTATGTTATTTCAAGACAAAGGAGGAAGTGACAAAGTGTTATGCTATGCAGAAGTGTCAATCAGTTACCAAGAAATAAATTTCTTTAACCAATACCATCTTGTTTCTGTTAAGTAGTACTAGTAGAAATTGGATGAGCAGTTCATCACGTATGACAATGAAAAGTACGAATTAAAGAAATATGGAAATTCCGTTACATAATAAAAAGAAAATTAAGAGTATTCTATTGAAAACTTGAGAGAGAGAGAGAGAGAGAGAGAGAGAGAGAGAGGGTGTGGAACCAAAGAAGGATTGAATTGGAGAAAAAAAAAATCAACTCTACTCACTAAAACATTGAGCTAACTGCGATTTGACATGAGTTGAATCATGTGGCCATTCCAACTCCCCATCGCGTTTCTTATGTCTACGATAAATTTCATCCTCATCAACCTACATTTGATATTGAAAAAGGCATTTCAGTACGTATAAATCGTTGCATAACACAATATAGCATAGCAAAGGTTTTGAATTCATGGATAGATCTCATTCACTCCAGTGTCGTAACATGAAACGTTTAGAAGCTACAGAGCATGTAGAGCACACAAACAAAAAAGAATTACTTTAACTTGTTAAGAAATGTGGCAAACGCAACACAAAATAAAAACTTTTGGTTGATGTACGCACTTGATAAAGAAAAACAAAGCAGCAGACAGACAAACTATGGATTCTGATTACCAACAAGGCTGTCATGAGTCATTAGAAGGCTTGCATATCAATAAGCAAAAGATCATCAATTAGAAAATTGAATCAAAGGATGATAATTTCACTTCAGAATATGAAAATACAGACTATTAACCAGTGAGCAATCCTAAGGGGCTGTAAATCACCACCAGCATTGATCTACATTAATCTTCCATACGCATACAGAACAACAAGAGATGGGATGGATAGTTTACTCTGTGATGGGAAGAGCAAGAAGGAAAGCATTGCCTATGCTTCCTTAATCTCATGAGGGGGGGCAAAATCCAGAGAGGGAGAGAGGGAGAGAGAATCTTTCACCCTTTTTAACCGAAAGCAAAAAGGCATAAAACAAAAAGGAATTTGAAGAAATATGGGTGGCAAATGATTGCACCCAACTCATGCTCTTCAGTCTTCTCCTATAATTCAACCTCACGATTATTGAACTTTTCTTTGTCTACCCAATTTACTTTAAATAAAGGCCGAGAAAGTCAAGGAATGGCATATTGGTATAAATACAGGGGTGCCCAGAAGCTATGAAGATGGGAACTTTCTAAAGGGAAAAGATTAATGGCACAATTAAAGGGCTTTTTTTGCATAATTTATGATGGAAAAGATACGCAATATATAGAAAGATTGAAACTTTGATGAAAAGGTGAGGTGGGTACCTCTGCACGCATAGCATTGACATACAAGACAAATATAACATTGCAACATACAAAGCTATAGAGAGAGAGAGACATAGGGACATAGACAAAAATACCTGCTATGGCATCTGAGGAGACATGTTGGCGGTGGTGGTGTTGTTGGTGATGATGTTGTCACAACGGGGCCCACTTGAAGAAAGTGGTGGTGGGAGCAGGGCTGATACAGAGAGAAGAGGAAGCAGGATGGCATTATCTTTTTTTTTTTTTTTTTTGAATGAAAAACTTTGCATCCAAAAATGGAGTCTATAGGGGTTGTTTTCTCTCAATCCGTCAATGGCACTGAAACCAGTCAATTTCCTGCAAACCAGCCTAGATACTAGCTATCGGTTTGGTTGCTTCTTTTTTAACCTTGGTGGTCTGTTCCTTGTGGCCACGCACATGCGAAAATATTGTTATTCCAATTGGCTTACTGCTAGCATGACTCGTTTAACAAATCATTTTTGGAATCCTCTTTGGATCTATTTCCTAACTTGCAAATTTTACATATGGTACAATGTACAAACAATGTGTTTCTAATGAGAAAATCTTAAAAAAATTCTAATCATGATTTGTAAATGTTTGTGGATCACATCACCTCATTGCGAGGTTTAACAAATACACATGATCATTTAAAGGGTTGTTATTTATTACTTGAAGTCGTCACTTGAGGTCATAATGTGTCAACGAGATAGAATTTTTAGTGTTTAAAATGTGCGCGACTTAGGTAACTTTGTAACTTGTTACATAAAAACTGGAGAAACTAAAGGCGCTTTTTTCAAACAAATTTGAAACCACTAAACATCAAAAGGAAATTCCAGGTCCTGGTAATTTCATAACATTAACCATCATCAGTAAC